TACTCCCCCCCTCTTCATCCCCACCCTTACTTTCTCCGAACTGGAGGCTGGGAGAAGGGTGAAATTCTTAAAGTGATCATTATTTTGGTGGCAGCTGGTTCTTAACAGCCTTGCTTTTGTGACAGAGGAGACAGGATTTGTTTCTGTGGTTGCACTGTCCTAATTATATTCCTAATGGATCCCGAGTCGGAGGATGGAGCAGGGTTACACACTGTCACGTCTGCAGGGCAATGCTTTAGGATAGGCTGGGCGACATCTCATGGTACCACGTGTAGCCAATGCTTTTGCTGTCATTAGTTAACCACGCAGCCTGTGTGCCTCTTTCTATCCCCTGACCCACATTTCATCCATGCTAGGCTGTTTTTCTCCTGCAGTGTTGTTTCCTGAGCAAAACCCAGAGCTTGTGAGTCCCCCAGCAGAGAGCTCTGTTCTGTCCTCCCTGAACAGGTAGTTCACCTGCTGGGCCAGTGTTTTTCCACTACCTAGTCAATCTGTTAAGATTTTAGCGGGAGGTTCCTGTCTACCTTTACAGAAAACATGTGGGGGTTGTAATTACTTTAGCCTACTGCAACTATTGAATTGAGAAGAGCAAAGAAGAGGTGCAAATCTTCTGTTCATAAATAACCAAATCTGCGGGCATTTTTACAAAGCATTCTGTGTATGTAGTGCAAAGAGAATTTATGTGCCACATTTCACCCTTGGCACACTTTCCAAATGAGTTGTTCAAAGAGAAGTTATATTAGGACAAATAGAAACGACGGCTAACACCAGATGTGGATTTTTAGTTAATATTTATGCAACACCCAAAGGGAAGATGGGATTGCACAATAAACTAAAAATGTCTTAGGCAAATAAGGAAATCTTTACCCCGAGGAACTGGCACCGCAAAGGTATGAATTATACAACAAAGGACCGGGAATGCAGAACAAATGTAGGCTAGGTCTGGTCGACTATAAAATGGAATTCATTGAGGAAGTGGTGAGGTAGCAGATGTGTGGGACCTACTCAGGAAAATAAGGGCTTAGCACTTTTTTGGCCAATCTTGTGTCTAAGGTAGACAGCTTAAGCCAACCAGCCTAATTTTTTTTTCAACTGTGGAGAACTCCAGTAGCCTTAAATAAATGATCTATAAATTCAGAACTGAGGCTGCAACAGTCTCACTCACCCTGGGTAAATGCATCTTAATAAACCTAAAAAGAGCTATGTGATCTTAAATGATCTTCAGGGATAGTGATGATATGTTTAATCCGATTTTCCCTCTCTAGTTGTTCAAGGAAGGTAGAAAATGCAAGCGTTGGCTGCTTCTCAGCCCTTGGAGACCAGTAGCAAGAGCTCATACCTTAATGCACAGAAAGGATACAGAGACCCATGTTAAAGTATAATAGAATTTTTGTTACGAGTAACTGGATTCTTTTTCAAACACAGCAGGATGTCCAGTCTTCCATTTATTAAGAATCTGGAGATGTACCATTTTATGGCGTATCTCACTTGCCCAGGCTTTCAGTTCAGTGGAGTTGGGGTAGTGGTGGAGGGAGACAGGCATGTTTTTTAAGACTACCAGAGCTTTGGAATGGAGAGATGCTCACAAGATTTTAACACTCTGAACCCAAAGCTCTCAAGCATTTTTAACTCAATAAATTTTAGGGAAAAAAGCTGTCCTTACATGATTTCCCGCCATGGATCTTCCTGAGGAAGTGATGATGTACTTAAGAAATGTCAACCTACTCCATCCCTCCTGCTTTCGATGAGTCCCTGTCATCTTTAACACAGACATCATATCAGTTTCTTCTTCCTGATGGATATTTGTGGATTTTCAAGTTTTTTTTTAATAAATAATTCCACATAAATACTCATATTGCTCATTTGCTATCAGTATTTGTTTTCTTATTAGGTTTCTTTTACATGTTCAGATGCTTCATGGTCTGGGCACTATGTAGGCAAGTTTCCTAGCTTCAATTCAAGTGGTAATTTAAGATACAAGTGTGTACTAAGATACATATTAAGATATAAGTGTGTACTAAGAAGGAAGTAATATTGGATGATAGATAAAGGAGTGTGTGAGTGTGTGAGCGTGTGTGTGTGTGTGTGTGTGTGTGTGTGTGTGTGTGTGTGTGTTATAAAGTACTAGATAGAAAGTTTGAAGTAATAGCATGTGAAAAAAAAAAGTACCTGATGGTGGAAAGTCGTCAAAGAATGTCTGGGGCGAAGACGTTTCCAGGAAGAAGAGAAAAGAAGGTTCTAGAGAAGATGTGTATATGGTACATAGACGAACACATTGTGAAGATGGGGAGGGCCAAATGAGCCAGAATGAGAGTTTTTATTCTATGAGCACCAGGAAGTAACTATAATACACGCTTGAGCGGAGAGATTGAATTTCAAGCTGCTTGTCGGGTACCTCAAGTAAATGCTTGGAGTAGGGGCTGTAAATGTAGAAATGAGACCATTTACAAGGCCATTAGATTAATTCCTGCAGGAGGTAACAATAGCTTGGACTAACATTGGGACAGTGTGGGTGTGGTGGTATTTATTTGGGAGGTGAATGTCTAGGTTTTAGGTAAGAAGTAAAAGAAGACGTTGGAAACCGTAACAGCTAACTTCTTGTGGCACTTTTCCTTCTAGATGCTTTATATGGTAACTCATCGAACCAAAAGAACATTTATAAAAATGAGGTATGAGGAGGGTGACTGGCCCCAGCTTCCCCAAATAACGAACAGCTGAGTTGATATTCAAACCCAGGTATCAGACTCATGTGTGTATTCCTCCCCCTGGGCCCCAGGATCCAACATCAATATATAATCCCAGGAGAGAGACAGAGAGGATCCGAATGGACCAATTGATAGGATTTAAGAAACAACAACAAAACCCCACAGTATATAGGGGAACATGCAAAATAGAAATCACCGTCTTTAATGTATTATTTGAGAATTTCCTACATGCGTATAATGTTTTGGTCAAATCCAAATTTGCCTGTTGGCGATAGAACACTTTTATACAGTGTCTAAAAGATTTCCTTGCAAAGTCTGGCATCTTTGCTTGGCGGGCATTCAAACTTTTCAGGTCGCTGCCACACACCCGAGGCCTCCAGTTTCTTTTAGTACCTTTGAAGAGCTAGCAGGTCAGGTGCGGCTCTACCCGGTGGGGACAAGTCAGGCCTGCATGAGGGACGAAGGACTGGTTTTCCATGCCCTGTAGCTTCCCCACAGCAGGGGGCGCTGCAGTAGTGTTCATTGTGGTCCACGGGAGGCAGCCACCAGTCCAGTCGTAAGAGAGGGGACCAGGCAGGAAGGAGGGGTGGCAGACAGCCCTCGGACCTCTTTGGTCTTGCAGCTTTAGTACGCAGGGCTCTTTCTGCCCAGACCATTCTTCTACACCGTATTTCATCATGTTGGATGCCTTCCATCCAGTCTTGCATCCGGGCGGAAAGGAAAAGGGCATTAGCTTTCTCCTTTGCTGGATGTAAGGATGGCGCTGTAGAGGGTTGCACTAGCGTGGGGGTTGGGGTGGGGGGTCCCTCTCGTCTATGTTCTCAGAGTCAGCCTGACAGTCCTGATCCACGAAAGACACCCCAGCCCCCTCAATCTCTGAGCAGCCCACGTGTGCTTATTTCTTACCTTCTAGCCTCTCCCCTTTCATTTTTCTGGATCGCTTTTCATAATCTCACCGCGGGACACGTGTCTCCCCATTGACATTAATGTCGACGGTGGTGGCGGCGTGGCCTCAGAGTGGAACTCTGCTTCCTAAACACTCCCCCCCTACCCCCCCGCTCTTCAACAGGCCCTCCCCATTCCAATTCAGCTCACGCACCCTGCACGCGGGCAATAGATCTTTAGTGGCAACCGAGGCTGCCAGCGCTCGCCAAACCTGTTCTACCTCTCAAGTGTCCCCAGAAGTCTCTCCAGCTGACCAGATCTTTGCCTGACAGCTCTTGGCACCGCGCGCTTGGCTAGCGATCTAGTGGGTGCCAGGCGCCTCCAGGCACCACCGGCCCAAGCCATCGACTCCTCCTGTCGCTTTTCTCCTCCATTTCCCCTGCCCAGACCAGAGCGCACTCTAGCTATCGTTTTGGGCAATCTTCCAAAAGTCGTCCTTGTCCCGGGGGGCTTTCCAGAGGGGGCGGGGGAACAAAACGAAGGTGAAAGAAGAGGAAGAAGGGCGCGGGGCTGGAGGAGGAGGAGGAGGCTGGAGCAGCGGGGAGAGTGGGCGGAGCCTCCCGCCAGTGGGGGTGACGAGGAGGAGCCTGCGGGGAGGATCTGGGTGGAGAAAGGGGCCGGGCTAGTTGGGGCTGGAGGGCTGGCCACGCAGGCGCGTGGGGCCGCGGCGAGAACCCCACGCGGGAGCTTTTGGAGTCCCCAGTCGCCGCTTCTCACTTCACTGAAGAGGGGCCCCGGGGAGGGAACCAATAAAGAGTGAATGTGCTGCAGCCGCGGTGGCGGCCGAGTTGGTGTGAACGACCCCGGGAGTCGTGCGTGCGCCCGCCCGGGAGGCGGCGAGGAGAGGCGGTTCGCCTCGTCCCTCCCACCCGCCCCTTTTCTCTCGATCTCTCTCTGCTTTCCTCCCGCTGGTCCCAGATCCCGGCTCCGTCCGGCCCCTACGCCTCCCTCCTCCCCGACCACTCACCCTCCCCTCCCATCTCTCACTCTGTTACCTCCTCAGTCCTCCACCTAGGGCGTCCCAAAGTGCCATGGGTTAGGGTGGGGACCGCGAGCCGCGCGAAAGGACTAGCCCCGATTCTCCGCCGGGGGGCGTGAAGCCGGATCGCCGCTTGCCTCTCCCGGGTGTCGGGCATGGGGAGCGCGGTGTGAGCCCGTAACCCCCGGGGAGCACTCACTCCAGGAGCAGCGGAGCCAGGCGACCCGAGGAGCCGGCGGAGAGGAACCCGGGATCGGAAGAAGGAGCAGAGAAGGGAGGGCGAGGAGGCGGGCGGGGAAGCCAGGCAAAAGTGCAACCAGGAGGAGAAGGCGGCGGAAGGTGGGGATTGATGCTTCTGTTTTTTGTTGCCGCTGCTGCGCTCGCGCTGGGAGCCAAGCCGGAGGGAAGGCGGTGGAGAGATGATTGCAGAGTTGGTGAGCAGCGCTCTGGGGCTCGCCTTGTATCTCAACACTCTGAGTGCGGATTTCTGCTACGATGACAGGTAAGTGGGCGAGAGGAAAGGGGCAAAGGCTGCGGCGCCAGGGGAGTGGGGGGTGGGTGGGGTGGGGGCTCTGGAACTGCCCGCTGTCAGGCTGAACCCGGGGACACAGGTTATCAGCACCTGAAGGCTTAGGCGACGTGGAAACCGTAACTCCTAAAGCAAACAGCCGGGACGCCAGCGCACTGGGCGGGCCAAGCGAGTTTCCGCTCTCCTACTTTGCAGCAGGTTCTTGCTTGCTTCTTGCCGCCGGTTGGTAGACGCTTAAGTTATTTAGCGGAAATCCCGGCAATTTGGAAAACTGTTTAATGAACCTACATTAAAAAAAAAACACCAAAACAATAAAAGTCCTAGGTATATTTGGTGCAAAAAAGCATATGAAGCGATTTTACATGTGTACTTGGAAGGAAGTCGCTCCTCGCCCCTTAGTAGATCTTCTCCGTGTCGTTTCCTTTTATTGATAGGACACTTATTTCCCGAACTTAAATGCATGTTTGACAGTTGCCAAAATAGTAGAAAGAGCGCGCGTACTCTGCGTCAACTTTCTGTTTGGCGTGTATCGTAGTAAACTTTGAGCTGACATCATTGCTCATCCATCATGGGGCAGTCTTTTATAAAAAAACAGCAACAACAACATCATGGGCTTTCAGTTCTGCTGGGAGTGTTGCGTTAGACATTAGTGATATTTCCGATGCTAATTAGGGAAGAAGACGTCCCTGGAGACTGAAGTTGTCTTCTGTATTTGGGTTTGTTTGGGTGGCTAATGAGACCCGGACTGTATGTTGTCAAAGAAACTGCCTTGGTTCCTGGAAATCTCACCCTTGTGCTGGTGTCTCTACCTATTTTTAAACTGTTGTTAGTGTTTAGAAACTGATGAAAAGCTCCAATAGCCATTAGGGGAAAAATTCCAATTTGTGCCTTTTCCGGTGACTTAATCTGATTACAATTAAAACAGATGCATAATTAAAATATATTAGGGAGAACAGCATGCCTGGCTAAACTTATTAACCGTCCTGGGGTGTTTCATGCTCCATTGAAATTAAACCATCCAAAAAGTGAACACAGATTTACTTTGACAGCCTTTCAGCAGCCTCTCTGGGCTTAGGGGAGTGAATGGATCCCCCCCCCCTTTCCCCGGGGTTAGGTCGAGGCAGTGAGTGAACTTGGACAAAGTGGTTGACAACAGGGACAGTGAGGAGGCAAGGCTGCATGCACTCTTCTGTCCATCAGCCAGATTCTGTAGTCTGATGTGCCCACTCTCCTGCTAAGAGTGTTCCTGGATGTATATCTTAAATCAGGGGATGTCAGTCCGCACCCTCATTGCCTGCTGTGGGAATTCTCCGATAATGCTTGCAGAACTATCCCACACACCCCTGATGTGCTTAATGTTGTGCCCAGCAGAGGGTAGCTGACAGACAGTCTCTGGCAAACTTTCACACAACTTTTATGACAGCGTCCTGACCTCAGCAGTTGACCTCAGTTGCTCTAAGGAATGGGCTGTGAGCGAAGGGGAGCGGAGCTGTTCGCCTTTCTTCCTCTGGGTTCCTGTGATGATGCACCTGCTATTTTAAGAGCACCGGTGGAGAAAGCTTTTGTTCCTTTAAAATTAATCAGTTTTAATTTTCACTAATATGAGTGCAGGGATGAAATCAGGGCCGTGGCTGGCTCTTTTGGGGTGAGCTGAGGCAGCAAGTACTGTAACCAAGAGTAAGGAGCTTCTGAAGAATGAAAACACTGAAAAACTCTCACATCATAGAACGTCATGATGAGTCACGAATTCCTCTCGAATACTCTTCATCAGTGCTGTCCAGTTCTTAAAAGAGGATGTACAAAGAGAGGCCACCCTCTTTAAAAAAATGGAGACTAAAACTTACGTAACTGTGCGTGTACATGTTTCTGTGGGTCTACCACTCACCCTGAAGTGTTTGGACTTTGTGGGTCTGGGAGATGGCTGTGCCTGTGATGATAAATGAGTTGTCCTTGATGGCTGGAATTTCTCAGAAGCTCCTCATCTGCTACAGGTCACATTGAGTGTTAGAATCCACGTCTTCTGTTTTCTGTCTGCAGAGGTGGATTTAGTGTTCGAATTGTCCCATATTATGGATAGCATGTTCAATAGGATATTTAGACATAAAGCTATAGAATGTTGAGGGCCTAAAGTATGAATTATGCTTTGCTATGCAGTAAAAAGTAGTTTCTGTTGATTTCTCACAAAACTTCATAGGCAACCACGTGCTCTGAAAAACTGTGAAATCTTCAGAGTAGCAAGCTACCTATGTTTCATAGAAACCGCAAGGTGCGTGTTTATGCAGCACTGGCCTGATGTGTCATGTGCACAGCATGTGGAGGTGATTCATTGCCAAGGTGTACTGTAAACTCTGGCTTTGCGAATACACTTTTCTGTGTAAGTACTGTAACTCACTGGTGTGTGAAGAGTGAAGTGAGCAGGGAGCCAAGTGGAAACTGTCGGATGAGGACATGATGTTTGTTTCCACTGTTCCATTTCAGATGGCAAAGATTCACATTTAAAACATTGTTTACATTACGTCTGTGCATCGTGATGCCCCCCCAGGAACTTCTGTGAAATACAGTTCTAGAACAGAGGAGGCTGGAAGTAGAGAGAGCTATAGACAAGGAGAAAGATGGATCTTGGGCACGGCTTGCTTAACTAAATGAGAACCTTGCACTGTAGCCTGAAGACTCTGGCCTTTGTGGGGGGGGCTTGTTATTGCTGTAGTGTGAACATTATCACTGTGCTACCTCTCAGAGTTACCATTTATTTTAAATATAATGATCAAATTTATTCAATAAACTTTATATATATATATATATATATATATATATATATATATATATGATTACTTTTAATGTCTTATGTAGCTTGTTGGAAGTTGAGTGGAAACCTGAAACTTTGTTAAAGCAAAAATCATTCCCTGTGGTAAAAACTTAATGTCTTGCAAGTAAACTTAAGAATCTGTCTACGATGTATGGAAGTGAACAGTGCAAGGGCAGAATTCACAGTATCTGATGAGAAAATATACCTGCCCCCAGCTTTATTCTCCCTTCTCTCATCGTGAGTGTAGTGTAATGACTCCATTGTCTCTCCAGTAGGCTGGCCCAAGTTTAAGCTCCATTGGCCTGCAACTCCTTGATGGATCCTCTTAAAAACGTTCTGGAGAAACTTGACGCTTACGAGAGAGCAGAATACAAACAGGCACCTTTTGTGACCCCAAACTCTTTGCTCCCTTATGTGCTTGTTGAAGGTGACCTTATATCATTCGTTACACATTGTCCCCGTTAAAATACTGCCACAAGTGCCTCAGAGGTCACACTGAGAAGAGTGAGCTTGATGCAGAGGTAAACTGTCAATTTAAAGGAGTCTGATTTGATTGTACATGTATCATTTAGTGGGTGGCATACCCTTTTATGATATAGAAAGGGGAATAAGAATACAGCTTTTT